TTTTAGCTCTTGTATACCGCTGTCCATACACCTGACACTTGTCTCGTAAGCTATTCGAGTAACCATCACAAAGACACACGGAGATTCCCATGAAAAACAGTAACTCTCGGTTCTTTGAAGAGCCCCTATGTGCATGCATGCATACGTGCACTTGTGTGTGCACGCGTACGTGTGTCACTCCGTACGTACGTGTGGATCATGGGCTAGCATGTGTACAGCCTGGCTGTCTGTGTTGTCTGTATATATATAAACCTTTTTTGCTAAACTGACTTGACAGACTGTGAGCATTTCGGTACTTAAAATTACTCGCAGCATTATTGGCAGCATTATTTTGCATTTATTTTGCATTTATTGGCAGCATTATTGGCAGCATTTTTAGCAGCATGAGATTACTCATAAATTAAAATTAGAGGTCAGACATAAAAAAATGCTTTATCACTTAAACATCAGCATTTCACATTGTATTCAGCTAAATAATATACATATATATATATATATATATATATATATATATATATATATATATATATATATAGTGCACAACACTCATACACTTGCCTTTCGCAGGCCGCTTGTATGCACAGACTTAGAACTCCACACACGCTCATCGTGTTCCCGGTGCGCGGTGATCGCCGTGCCACTGCCGTCCTGCGGTTTCAAACGTTCCGCGCGCGCCGTTAGTCGTCAAACTGACTTGTCACTGCTGCTCACTCTGCTGACGTGTGGAGACGGCGTGCCTAGCTGAAATACACCGTCGTTATCTTCATGACTGAGAAACAAACGCACACGGGTCGAGGAGCAGCGCGAAGAGGGAAAATGTTGCTTCATGTTGCTGCATGCTGCTTCATGTTGCTGCATGTTATTGCATGTTGCTTCATGTTGCTGCATGCTGCTTTAATGTTGCTGCATGTTGATTGATGTTCATTCTATCTATCTATCTATCAATATGGTTACGTCGATCTGTAACTCTTGACAATTACTCAACGGTGTATTGTTGTTGTGTAATACAAAAACTACTACAGAACGCCATGCAATGATGCATGTACCCATATTTTGCTCCTGTGGGACTTCCCAGACGACTTGGGCACTAGCTACGTGTGCCAAAAGCAGAAAGGCAGAGCAGGGGTGGGAGGAGCATCCAGTGGGGGCTGCAGCCACTTGGCCCTTTACCCCTTCCCTATGCCCATGCGAGGAAATACATTACAGAATATTTTCCAGTAATGAACGACACGTAGAACAGGATTAACCCGAAGGAGATCATGATTTTGTTCCATCATTTATTTGACTGACGCTAGGATTTTCTACAATTATTAGGGCAATTGCTTCTTGAGAATCTTCCCCGCACTTTCACCCACCACGCAGGCTTCTCTACACTACCAAGCCAGGCCACATGCTGTCAAGCAATCATTGCTTGCGGGTAAGGAAATTGAACCGACTCTGACACACACACACACACACGCACGCACACATGCACGCACACACACACCAGCGCGTGTACGCCCAAGAGGAGTATGACCACACTATATTGGTCCAGTAAGGAAGACCGTGAGTGATACTGATAGGGAGAGACTCAGGGAGGGGGCAGGGCTTAGCCTAAGACCTGGTGAAAAATCACTACTAATCCAATTATGCCAAGATGCCTCACTCTTGGCAGAGGAACACGAACGAGTGTGCGCCATGATGTGACATGCAATCTGTAGCAACTACACAACACACAAACCCACGTCACCGGACGATGGCGGCTATTTGGCACTGATTGTGTAGCATACCCTACTCATGACTAAGCTTGCATTGGGCCCTAACTGTAACAGTTGCAGACCTGTCACAAATGTCGTGGGAAATGGGTTAAAAGCAAAATACTAATTTCAGACTAAAAACGGGAAGACAAAATTCAAATCATGAGTTTTCATTAAATATTGGACAAGGACCATGGCATAGACCAAACTAACTCGTATAGATTGATGTGCAAACTTAATTAATTAGCTACTGCTTAATTAGATGCACACATAGCACTCCTATGGATTTCCTATCGTGGTAAAATTAGATAAATATTCATAATCTTATTATATAATGAGAAGAACCATAAAGCCATTCATGAATACATTGTACTAGCTTGCAACACCCAATGCACAATACCAATGACCTCATGTGAAAGACACTCAAATTTTACATTCCTGCCAGCCACACAAAATCTTATTTTATGCAGTGAAACACTCACGATACTTATTGTCATACTGGGCCCAAATGGCTACAGAATAATCATTCATAAATAGATTTTGGTCTTCTAGATTAACACACATGAGGGGTATCTTGTAGTAGAAGAAGTTTATAACAGATTTTAAGTGTAAAATAAACAAAAAAAGCAATTGTGTACCTAAGGAACGAGGACGTTAAAAAACCAATTGACATCAAATCCACAGGGGTAGAAATTAACTTTTGAACAAACTCGAACTCTGACCTCAAAAAGAGGGAGTCCGCAGCAAAATGAGGGAGTCCGCAGTCTGAGGTTCAAAATTAAAGATATTATTATTAACAATAACGCATGTCCTTATTTTTAAGATTCATGCAGTTGCACGTCTGCCAAATTTTCTTTGCACATAATCATTAGCTGAAAAAATACAGTAATTCCGCGAGGCCGTGCTCCGGAATGAACTAGTTAGTATGGCATAATTTTCAGGGAGTCACACGGACTCCTGCATATATGTCAAATCAGGGAGTCCGACAGTAAATCAGAGAGTATTTGACTCCGGACTCCTGTTAATTTCGCACCCTGAATGTATGGCCTGTCTCTTGAGTGTGCTGTATTTGCTTTTCGTATACAGTCCAACCTCCTTTATCCGGCCATCCGTTATCCGGAAATCTCTATTAACGGGCCGTGATCTTGCAGTGTATTCTCTGTTTTTCATTCATTTCCACCCAAAAATCTCGCTCAAAACTCGTTCAAAGCTCGCTCAAAACTCGCGCGATGTACCAACTGTACGTGTGTTTGCGTGTGTGCGTTTGCGCGCGTGTGTGAGTGTATGTGTGTTGTCCGCTCGTGTCCGTTATGCCTCCGGTAAAATTTCAGTTTTATTTCATTTTATTTCCATTTCATATAAACCATAAAACACAACAGTTTGTTACAAATAATCATAGCAACGAGTAAATACATTATCAAATGCATAAACCCTACTGAACTGCATATAGAAATGCTGTGTTTGAGCATAACTCTCATATTCGGCCAAATCCCATATCCGGATGGGTGCCGGTCCTGACGTGGCCGGATAAAGGAGGTCGGACTGTAGTTGGCAAATTTAAGTGGCTTATTGTGTAATGCAAGAGTATACGATTTCAACCTAACTATCGGGAATTACTAGATAAGTACATGGCTATCAAAATTCCCACGTTTTGCCGATAGCAAATTAAGTCAGCAGAGGCTATGCAGAAGGTTACCAGAATTCCAACTTCTTACAGCAGTTAAAGTTCATACTTTGTATATAGTAGTTAACAAATTTATGCAAGATGTATGAATGTATAACAGGACGATGCACACATTTACAGCCTTTCATCAATCATCATACATGTAACTTGTAAGCATCCTGTGCAGCACCATTCTGAGATGAGTGAGACCAACTTCTTTCTGATCGAACATTACATGTATTGTAATGATGTAACTTAATTCAGATGTCTGTCTATGCTTAATTAGCCTATGTGCACGAAAGCAGCTGTATGGTCGAAATATTGGACACAAGCCAACAAAATTTATTGTTTAAACATTACCCACATTTACAGGGCTACACTACAGTATAACCTACCAGGGGTCGAAATAAGCGATGGTCCGATGGTCCGGAGCGATCAAATAATCAGGAGGACCATCAGATTTTCAAAGTCAATGGTCCGACAAACCATTGAATATTTTGGTCCCATTTTACGGTAATTTTCTTTGAAGTTTCCACGTTCCAATATACTATTAAAGTGAATAAACAATTACACATTCATTGTACGTGTAACATGAATAATTAAACCATTTTATCACCATGTAAAATCTCTTTCTTACGCTTGAACGCCGCATTACTTTTAGAGAACAATTTGAAATTTAGGAGGACCATCTAAATTTCAAACTAGATGATCCTGTGCACAGGCACTTGGAACGTCTCAATTAAAAAAAAGGTAAATAAACACGAAATGTATTTACTACCAGTCTTAATGCGGTGTACTTGTGTGTTGCAGATGAGCATTTGAACGGCATTTACGGGTAATTATCGGCAATAATAGGCGAAATAGAGTAGAGAAACATTAAGACTGGTAGTGGTAGTAAATACATTTTGTGTTTACATTATTTTTTTATTGAGACGTTCCAAGTGCCTGTGCCTGTGGTCCTGGACTAGATACAATAATGTAACCCAAACCCAGGATAGGCCTACTATTTGTTGTTTTAAGCGGTGTTGGTGGTATATAGGCTTTGTAACACTTTCTAGGCTTGCTACATGATCATCATCATCATTCATCATCATAAACCACAGGGCTAAAGCAAAGGTTTCAACTCAAGCGATGTAGGCTCCTTCACCGACAACGATAAAACACGACATAATTACCTTGATCTCGTCGCACGATCAAATCCGTTTAGAAATCAGGAAGATACGTAATTATACAACACTTAAACGATTATATACGATATGATTAGGGTCCTATAACTCAATCCTACAGGCTAATGTCAGGACAGGTTTACCTTCAATCGTTAAAGAAAAAATATCATTTGCTTTCTCCCGCTTCTGTAGACTGCTCTGTTGTTAGTTTTACGATATAAGTATTCTCATATTTAAGAAGTTTTTAGCTCCAATAATAACTGAAATGATAATACTAATAAGACGACAACGTATTCTGTCGATAGAAATGTTATTTATACCAGAAATTGTTCAAATATTCGCTTTTTCTGAAAATATTCAGATACGTTTGCCACTAATATTAGACAAAGTTAGCTCTAGATGGCGCTGCAGTACGAACACAATCTACATGTGAAATTCATCCTACAGTCTACATAGTACACATTCATAACAAACATCAACAAGTTCTAGTTCAAGTTCAAGTTCAAGTTGTCCGTATCTCGGTTCGTCGCACTACTAGTACTATTACTACTAAGTTTAATACTGTTAGTACTATTAGTAATAGTAATACTGTTAGTGTTAGTGTTACTAACGCTCATATACTCAGTCATAGGGTCTATTAACCCGACCAGGCCACAGGCACTTGAAGCATATCAACAGTAAACACACGCCGCCGCCATCGCGCGTACACTGACACATATACATATATGTACATACATACATACATACATACATATACATACATACATACGTACATACATATACATATATGTATATGTGTCAGTGTACGCGCGATGGCGGCGGCGTGTGTTTACTGTTGATATGCTTCAAGTGCCTGTGGACCAGGCTGTGTGACTAACGTCAATACACCGTATCTAAGAGTCAGACTAACCCTATCAATACCGTTTCTTGGAGCTAAGGGTCTATGTCCCCCAGGGTACTGCCGGAACGTTACCTGGGTACGGTCCGGTATACCGGAACGTACCCTGGTTACTATTTGATATGGTTAGGGTTAGGATTAGGGTTCGGGTTCGAGTTAGGGTTAGGGAGTAGGCGTAGGCGACTCCCTAGACTCGTTAGTGGAGTAGGCGAGGTACGGTCCGGCATATTAGATAGTACCAGGGTACGTTTCGGTATACTGGACCGTACTCAGGGTACGTTCCGGCAGTACCCCGGGGGATATAGACCCTCTCAGCGTTACTAACACTATGACAAAATTTAGAAGGTAATATAATAAATACGAAGTGATTATTTCCCCGGCAAGCCGGACAACTAAGCCAAGAAATCAAACTAGCTTCTCCGGCAAAAAGCAGACTACCGGTATGCCGCTGCGCAAACCATAACCAAACCATGAAACCATAACGTCCAAACCAGAAGTAAGGGTTAGGGTTGCGGCGGCGACCCATAGGCGGAATACATTATACAGCGGCGGCGGGACACTTCGGTCTGCCGAAGAATTTAACTATGACTTTCAGCACTGCTTCTACAGCAAAGCCGGAGAAGCAGTGCTGAAAACGTGCACTTGTTTCTCTGGCGCCGGAGATCTAACAAGAAAATTTGTTCTTAATTCTCCAGCGGCTGGAGAACTAACGATGGTTTTCACCGCTGCTTTTCCGGCTGCCGGAGAAATAATACCAGCCAATATATTAATCTACTGAAAAGTTTACCTGCTAAATTATCCCTCCTGTTATCTGATAATATTTTCACCATCCTGGTTCCGCATCCGCGCTAACCATCACCGCATCCTGGTTATTTAATTTTATTCTTTGCACCACGAATCCAACCTTTTTACGCCTTATCTTTATGTTCATCTATCTGTTTTATTTATCTCAGCTGCTCCTGATGATTTGTATATCGTGGCTAACGTACTATTAGTATTACTTTGCATTGTTGTGTTTAGGTAGCAAATGAAACCCAAAGGTATGTCTAATAAATCATCACCATCTGGAGACTCGGACGCGTCGTCCGGTGAACGTGTTCTCGCTTCAGACACGTTTGCTGAACATTTGAGCTGCCAAGTGAGCCAAGAGGATGTACTCTCCATGCTGCTTGCACAGAAAGAAATGTAAAGAAACGTGACAGCATTTACTTGTAACTCGTGTTATTACATATTGTATTGCTCGAAATAGACATTACAATGCTTGCAAAACATTTATATAAATGCTAGCATCAGCAGTACGTAATATTCTATTCCTCATTGTATATTTTAAATCTGAACAACTATTATTTGCCCCAGATGTAATTAGAATATTATTATTGTTAGCACTGTGTATTAAGTTTATAGTAAACGTACATGCATAAAATATGAAATAGAGTAACTAGTAACTTTCTTTGTCATACTCTATCTATGTCTTATATGCTTTCAGCACTAATGGAGATCAGTGAGCTATGGAACTACTAGGGCTGTAACGATCCACCGAAATCGAATCGGATCGCGATTCTCTTCCCTCGATCCGATTCTCGATATTTTTCCCCGTATTTTCGATTCCACTTCGATACCACTTTTTTCCTCCAATAGATGGCGGCACTACGCTATATACTGTGGAGTGTTACTCACCAATGTTACTCAGCGGCTGTGCAGTGTATATATACTCGCTAGACTCTCTAGTCTATTCACCATTTAGTATTCATTGGCAATTTCTAATAATTTATTATTGCAAAATAATGAAAATATAAAAAATAAGATTACATTTCAATATTTTGGGAATCGAATCGAAGGAATCGAATCGAGAGGCTAATATCGAGAACCGGATCGAATCGAGAGGCTAATATCGAGAACCGGATCGAATCGAGAGGCTTGGGTATCGTTACAGCTCTAGGAACTACTATACAGTTTTGTAATTTCCTGTGCAGGTTGGCACGATTTGAGAAGACGAATGAAATGCTCGTAAATTGCAACGCGTTGGCAGCAGCCCGTGTTGACTATGCTCATCTGGAATTCCGACGTCACACGCAACTTCTAGTAGAAATGAAGAAAGATTTAGACATTGTATTCAGAAGAATAAGGTATCCTATCATCTACTGCTGACATGTAGAAACATGGATCGTGTGTGTGTGCGTGCGTGCGTGCGTGCGTGCGTGCGTGCGTGCGTGCGTGCGTGCGCGTATGTGCATACATGCTTGCTTTAGTGCGACCAATCATCACACGCAAGTTTATGCATGCACATTTGGGTTGGTGCGTTATCTACTTTTATTACTTTTCATCAATATTTATGTGATGCCTGCACACGCGTCAATTAATTAGCTGCTTTTTTCTAATTTGTACACATTTTTAAAGGTCATGATCAAATCTGTTTAGCGAAGATTTCATTTAACACAACCAAAATCTTGTTTTCCAGGAAACTGAAAGTAAATCTTGGCAAGAGATACCCGGAAGCTTTTGCAGGTTGGTTATTTAAATGTACATTTATTTATTTCATATTAGATCAACATGCATTTTACATTCACTGTTTATCGCTGTCGTTGATCCTAAAGCTATTCCACATTCATTTCTCATCGTCACACAGAAAACTCTGTTAGAAAGTCAGGACCAATCACGTTAGTCGATCTCGAAAGTGTCGACCCTTTTATGTAACGCCTGTTGTACTACCATATTTACTCGGGTATAAGTTGCACTCGTGTATAAGTCGCACCCCATATTTTGCCTTGAAAAGTTGGTACAAACATTGGTACATTAACAAGATTTCTTTGCCTTGTGTATAAGTTGCATCCTTGATTTTTTTATTGAAGTTGTGTACAAAAAAGTGTGACTTAAGTTATACACGAGAAGATACGGTATTTCTGCACACACGCATCACATCATATTAGACCAACTTGCATTTGACATTCATTGTTTAAGGCTGTCGTTGATCTTAAATGCCATTTAAACGCCTGTCGTTCTCTGTCTGCAAACCCGCATCACATCATATTAGATCAACGTGCGTTTGACATTCATCGTTTATGGCTGTCATTGATCTGTAATGCCGTTTAACCTCCCGTCGTCCTCTGTCTGCACACACACACACCAACATTGCCTCACGATTTCAGCTTGCAGTCCTGTCGGGTCGCCGGACGACGAGGAAGATCCATCTCATCCGAGCGTAGGCGCGCAGCCTCCAGGTCGCGAGGTCGCATCGCGCGACGCCGTGCAGGGTCGCTCCGCCACCGCCTCCGCGAAAGATCTGGCGAGCACGCGAAGTTTGTCGGCGACGTCCTGAGATGGATTCAACACCACGCTGCTGCCCGTTAATGTTGCCACGGCGACTATAGCAGGTGTATCCGCGACGTCCTGAAAGCTGCACTTTGGGAGAGCGATCCATCGCCGTGCGAGCGCGTCGCGGCCGGCTAACATGGCGACGGCGACTATCACGTGATTATCGGCGATGTTGTAGTAGGGGCAGGCTCGACGTGAGGTCCGTGCGTGGGTCGTGAGCGAGCGGGGTCGAGTCGCGTGGCTGTAGCTTTCGTGGCGAGGGACCGTCAGACGCGGAGTCGTCGGGGCAATGCGGTTCGAGTCTACACCAGCGCCGTTTACCCATTTCCCGTCCGTACGTTGACTACCCAGTAGAGAGATGTAATGGTGCGTAATGTGTGGATGAGACCAGCCACAGAGATGTAGAGGTGTAGCAGTGTAAGGACGACTGAGAACGGAGAGTAAGCAATATCGCGCACGTGTGGAGAACTTCAGGTAGTGATGTAATCGTGTCTTGGTGTGTTAAAAATTAAGTACGTTGAGAGAGAGGTGTCTTCGTGTTTGCACGACTGAGAAGAGAAAGTTAGAGGTGTCCCAATCTGTTGGTGACGGAGAATAGAGAGATAGAGGTGTCTCAATATATAGGTGACTAAGAACAGAGAGATAATGGTCTCGCGATTTGTGAACAACAGAGAATAGAAGGGTAATAGGGCCTTGGTGTGTAGACGACTGAGGTCGGGGATGAAGTGATGTCTTGGTTTGATTTCTGTGTGAATGCAGGACTGAGAATGACGATAAAGAGATGTTTCAATGAGTGAACAAGCCATCGCAGTGGTGTAATGATAACAAAGCATGTAGACGACTGAGAATAGATGGTAGGTGGTACCATAATGTCTGGTCGAGTGAAATAGGGAGGAAGTGGGTCTCTCTATGCGTGGAGAAAGCACTACAATAATGTAATAATGTGCAATAATGTCTTGGTATTTTGGGCACGCCTGGGCCAGCCCAGCATTAATGAGAAAAGCTGATATTAAATTCTAGCAGCGTTGTGATTCGTGGTACATTTTACCACTGGATTACTGAGTGACAGCCAAAAATTCATTCTTTTTGGCATTTTTGGTACATTGGGAATATGTTTTCAGTCGGAGTATGGCGGAAACCATTTTATCTTATTTGTCTCGTTCTGGTACCGTAACTGTAATCCACTCATCAAATTGTGAAATAAAATTTGCTGCAATTTGGATATACATTATTTTAGAATGGCTGTTTACAAGCTAAATCCCCAGAAAATGTACGTGGGAGAGATTTGTAACACATGCGTTATCCACACTTCTTGCACCTATAGATGGCAGGACCGACATGAAAGCTGATCATTCGCGCTTTATTGGTAGTATGCGCATGGCTATTGATTTTCAAAACTGTTGTAAGTCGTAAGCTTTCCCTATGAGTAGTTTCGTATATGCGATGCGTACTAGTTCAAATATTTTCACGTCAACTTGACTCTGCATGCTCGCTTACATTCGGTCTGGGTGCAGAAACGCGTGCAAGAAAGCATGGACACAAACACAGTCACCTCAAAACACAAGCACGTACATTTAGCTTTATTTTAAAGATAGTTACAGGAGTCTCACTGCCGGAACAAGAGCGAATAAGTCAAATGGTTTTACGATATGATAATATCAGGAGTGAATAATAATAATCGATTATCTAGTGATCAATAATGTTTAATCTATTATTATTCACTCCTGATAATTATGATTATGATGATATCTGTGGTATCAGAGGGGAGGGAAATGCAGCCCCTCCCTCCCGCACATACACGCACGCGCACACACACACGCGCACGCACACACACACACACACACACACACACACACACACACACACACTAAGTCATACTAAGTCATTATGCTGATATGCGGTTACATTGTGTCAATCTGTTTCATTATCTAGCGCGTCTATTTTTGTTAATTCTCGCAAGTTACTTGTCACTCACTGTTTATTTGAATCTGCAGATTCGTGCCTGCTCTGCTAGATGATCATGACCTCTCACATTATTTACCCCCCTCCCCCCCAACAGACACATCGTCTACTAGTGGGTTCATGTACGGGCATGGCATGATGCCATCGTCCTATACCTTCGCCTATGTGATTTCACTTTATACAAGCAGTTCACGCCCTTGTTTAAAAAAATGTCAAGCGAATCTGATATCATCTGATATAGACAGACCATCATGAGACTACTGATTATGGACTGATCATAGACAGACCAAGTAGTTACCCGCTGCGTGCACTTTGAACGACCATGGGCACAGAAAGCAAATAGAGCGTTATGGACATATATAAAGAGCGGCTTGGTCCAGTATCGCTCTCTATGCTCTCTAGCGTTTGTTGACGAAGCGATCCTTATAGGTAAGTGCTGACGCGTACTCTATGCAAAGCCTGACGAGTTACGCGAGCAGTAGCAGTCGCACACAACCCATCCGAACTTGCCATAACTAGTTTGAGCTGGGCTCTACCCCATGTCAGGCACACGCGCACACACACACACACACACGCACGCCCACCGCACACACACACACACACATAATTATACCTAATATATAATAATGATAACGTATATACCTATATATATATATAAAGCTTTAACGCCATGGTCATATACGTGAACATGTCATACGTTTTTGCCAATCGGGTAAACGCCAACGCGCGCGCGCCATGACAGATGATACATGAATGGCTCTCTACGCCACAAACACCGATGACTCATTATTAATGACAGTTCGGTCTCGTACTGTGCTGCGAGTATCGCGACGCGAGATTGTTTGGTGCCTGCAGACTAAACGCCATGTAGGGTAAAGTTGAGGTATCCGGAAGCAACACACCGCGTCGATTCGTTGACTTCTAGACAACGGCGCGCGGGATGTTGTGTATGTGATTGGGTGTGTAGTCGGCACAAGAAATAAGATCTACCCTCATCATCACACGACTCTTCGTATATAGGTTGTGAGTGTTTGCCGCCATCATGCCCGCTTATAAGCTTGTGTACTTCAATGCCCGCGGCCTCGGAGAGGTTGCCAGACTCCTGTTTGAGGTATCTGGCACCGAGTACGAAGACAAGCGAGTGACTAAGGAGGAATGGATAGAGCAGAAGAAAGGTGAGCCTCGTGCATACCTATAGTTTAGCGGAAATTAGCTCTCGCTACAGCGAAGGGAGGGAGCGAAGCGGGGCTACACTGGTAGAGCTAATCGAAAATTACTTTAAACTAAGTATGACAATTAATGGCCATGTTTGAGGATTGCATTATTTCGAAAATCAGCAGCTTTTAATGGAATGATTGCGCAATCCAGTTACTCCTGCAATAGCGCTACGCAACGTTACATCATTCATTTTCCTTTTTCACTATTTAACAGAAACCCCATTCGGTCAACTGCCGATGCTGTGTGTAGGTGACGACATCATCTTCCAGAGCAACGCCATCTACAGGTACCTGGCTAGAGTTTTCGGTAAGGCTACAGCACGTGCGAGCAGGGCCGTAGCTAGCGGGGGAGGGCAAGGGGGTCCAAAAATTAGATACAATACATGGTACGTCAATGGCGGTCACCTTCCCAGAGCACACCATACGCGTGGCATTGCATGCCCCCCAAGCAAAATGGGTTAGTTACGGTCTTGGCGAAGATTTTGCTTCCCAACAATTAGGCCTACACTAATGAGTGTCTTAGTCGTTATTGGCTGACCTTGCGCGCTGATGATAGTTGATTCTATGATGCACAGATCTGTACGGGTCCAGCAACATGCAGGCAGCTCGTATTGACTCCATCTGTGAGTGCTGGAGGGATGTGCTACAGGCAGTCCTCAACATCATTCACGAGGAGGATGAGGAACGCAAGGTATATGTGTTCAGTTCGCTCATGCATGCACTCCTCTGCAAGCTCACTAAAAATTCCCAAACCTATCTATCTATATAATAATTTGAGTAGTGTCGTTCTGTTTGTTCCTGCATAACTTATAGGCGCGTGCATGAATCCGGCTGAAATTTTTCGTGCTTCATTCCTACGCATCAGGTTCGATTCTAACACTTTGCTTTTTGTTATTTATTGGGTTTAATGTTTAAAAAAAACATATTTAGATAATCTATTGGAAAATCTCCCTGGAAAACATGCACGATTCAGTTCATTTCCGCTAGGTGCGCTGCCGGAAACATACAAGGTGTGGCCACCATAGATATATACAACACGTGTTGTATATATCTATGCGAATACCTAACGACAGACTGATTCACAGACTATAATGAATACAGTAGTCTATGACGTAAATGTACCGTGGTTACGCTGGGCACACGAAATGGCTGCAGTATCAAGTCCTCTCCCACCACATTGCTCGTGCTAAGCCCATACCATGTCTATATATATATTTACCCATACATATATATACCCATACTATCTATATATTTATGTATGTATATATATATATTATAGTATATGTGTGTGCGTGCGTGCGTGCGTGCGTGCGTGCGTACGTATGTGTGTGTGGGTGTGTATTTTTGTGTGTGAGCGTGTGTGTGTGTGTTATGCACTGGTAGAGGGGAGCGAACTTGATTCTTCAAGCAGGGGGCACACGCGGCTTTGGCACCGGGCGTGGTGGCGTGATTTTGCCTGCTAGAGTACTTATTATATGACTCATATCATTATTAATTGACAGTTCGGTCCCTCGTACTGTCAGCTAGCGACGTACTCGCGCCACGCGAGAATTGATTTTGCCATGCCGACTAAACGCCATGTAGGGTAAACGTTGAGTAATCGGAAGCCACACAACCGCGTCGATTCGTCTAGACAACCGCGCGCGCGCATGTGTGTATGTGGTTGGGTGTGTAGTCGGCACAAGAAATAAGATCTACCCTCATCATCACACGACTCTTCCTATATAGGTTGTGAGTGTTTGCCGCCATCATGCCCGCTTATAAGCTTGTGTACTTCAATTCCCGCGGCCTCGGGGAGGTTGCCAGACTCCTGTTTGCTGTATCTGGCACCGAGTACGAAGACAAGCGAGTGACTAAGGAAGAATGGATAGAGCAGAAGAAAGGTGAGCCTCGTGCATACGTATAGTTTAGCGGAAATTAGCTCTCGTTACAGCGAAGGGAGGGAGCGAAGCGAGGCTACACTGGTAGAGCTAATCGAAAATTACTTTAAACTAAGAATGACAATTAATGGCCAAGTTTGAGGATTGCATTATTTCGAAAATCAGCAACTTTTAATGGAATGATTGCGCAATCACAGTCGAGGAAATTTAGGTTTGTATTAAATTACTCCTGCAATAGCGCTACGCAACGTTACATCATTCATTTTCCTTTTTCACTATTTAACAGAAACCCCATTCGGTCAACTGCCGATGCTGTGGGTAGGTGACGACATCATCTTCCAGAGCAACGCCATCTACAGGTACCTGGCTAGAGTTTTCGGTAAGGCTACAGCACGTGCGAGCAGGGCCGTAGCTAGCGGGGGAGGGCAAGGGGATCAAAAAATTAGATACAATACATGGCACGTCAATGGCGGTCACCTTCCCAGAACACACCATACGCGTGGCATTGCATGCCCCCCAAGCAAAATGGATTAGCTACGGTCCTGGCGAAGATTTTGCTTCCCAACAATTAGGCCTACACTAATGAGTGTCTTAGTCGTTATTGACTGACCTTGCGCGCTGATGATAGTTGATTCTATGATGCACAGATCTGTACGGGTCCAGCAACATGCAGGCAGCTCGTATTGACTCCATCTGTGAGTGCTGGAGGGATGTGCTACAGGCAGTCCTCAACATAATTCACGAGGAGGATGAGGAACGCAAGGTATACCTGTTCGCGCATGCATGCACTCCTCTGCAAGCTCACTAAAAATTCCCAAACCCATATAAGTAGTGCTATATGCAAGTTCTATATTCCTACTTTAACTATACTAACGATCGCACAGGGTAATATACAGACAGTCTATATCCCAATAATCATGCGAAAGTTTCCCCGGTCCTGAATTGTGACGATGCTGCAGTATTTCGTGCGGTGTTTAAATAACTGTAATTTAGGCAGCGCTCGCATCTGCCGAACTTAATTATTACCTCCACCAAGGAGGTTATGTTTTCGCCCCTGTTAGTTTGTTGTTTTGTCTGTCAACAAGATATCTCAAAAAGTTACGAACGGATTTTGATGAGATTTTTTGGACAGATTGTTCTTGGGCCAACCACCAATCGATTAGATGTTGGTGGTGATCCGGATCCAGATCTGGATCCAGGAATGTTTTGAAGGATTTCTGTGACATTATTGTAACATTTGCCATTATTAGGACCAATAGGTGGCGCCATGTATTTCCCGAAGCCATGTGCTTCCAGTTGCACTCTGCAGAGTCAAACAACAATAGTCATAGAGAGTAGAAACAACGATATTGGGTGTGCCAGCAAGATGGGGGGACTGTTACGCTGTGGCGGAGGTTTGCTATCTCCGATTGCTATTGTTTAATAGTGTTATTGTTTGGTGTGATGATACTCTCAATGATTCCACAAACTGATTCTGTAACTTATTTATTTGTTTCTGCAGGGGATGCTGCAAAAATTAGCTGTTACGAAGATAATCCCAGGATTCTTGGCCTTACTGCAAGCACGCCTC